TTTAGGGGAGGTCCGGCGAGGCGGCGCCAACCACCAACACGACCGAAATGTTGTTTTTGCCTTTCAGTTTTGTTGTTGCATCTGGTCTGGTTGGTCTGGTTTGGGCTTCGTCTTGCAGCCTTAGCTTAAGTTTCTTTATCTGGTCTGGCTGGTCTGGTTGGTCTGGTTTGAGCTTCGTTTTGCAGCCTTAGCTCAGGATCCGGGCGAGAGTGGTTTAGAGGGATCCGTCGAGGCAGCGCCAACCGCCACGACGACGACCGAATTTCAGTTTTTTTTGCATTGCAGTTTGTTTGCTTTGCTGTTTTTTGTTGCATTGCATTTTTTGGGGGCACCTGGTCTGGCTGGTCTGGTTGGTTGGTCTGATTTGCGCTTCGTCTTGCAGCCTTAGCTTAGGATCCAGGCGAGAGTGGTTTAGGGGAGGTCCGGCGAGGCAGCGCCAACCACCACCACGACCGAAATGCGTTTTTTTTCGTATCATTTTGTGGTGCTTTGCAGTGTTTGTTTGCATTGCAGTTTTTGTTTTGCATCTGGTCTGGCTGGTCTTGTTGGTCTGGTTCGAGCTTTGCCTTGCAACCTTACCCTATTTTTTTTGCATCTGGTCTGATTGGTCTGGTTTGAGCATCGTTTTGCAGCCTTAGATTAGGATCCGAGCGAGAGTGTTTCTTGGGGGATCCAGCGAGGCATCGCCCGACATGCAGTTTTTTTTTGCATTGCAGTTTTTGTTGCTTTGCAGTTTGTTTTGCACTGCAGTTTTTTGGGCAACTGGTCTGGCTGGTCTGGTTGGTCTGGTTTGAGCTTCGTCTTGCAGCCTTAGCTTGGTATCCGGGCGAGAGTGATTTAGGGGAGGTCCCGCGAGGCAGCGCCAACCACCACTACGACCGAAATGCAGTTTTTTTGTGCGTAGCATTTGTTTTGCCTTGCAGTTTGTTTTGCACTGCAGTTTTTTTTTGCATCTGTTCTGGCTGGTCTGGTTGGTCTGGTTTGAGCTTCGCCTTGCAGCCTTAGCTTAAGATCCGAGCGAGAGTGTTTTCAGGGAGGTCCGGCGAGGCGGCGCCAACCACCACGACGACCGAAATGCATTTGTTTTGCATTGCAGTGTTTTTTTGCTTCGCATTTTTCTTTGCGTTGCAGTTTTGTTTTTGCATCTGGTCTGGCTGGTCTGGTTTGAGCTTTGCCTTTCAGCCTTAGCTTAGGATCCGGGCGAGAGTGGTTTAGGGGAGCTCCAGCGAGGCAGCACCAACCACCACGGCGATCGAAATGCGTTTGCATTGCAAATTTGTTGCTTTGCTGTTTTTGTTGCATTGCAGTTGTCGTTTTTGCATCTGGTCTGGCAGATCTGGTTGGTCTGGTTTGAGCTTCGTCTCGCAGCCTTAGTTTAGATATGGTCTGGTTGGTCTGGTCTCATTCATTGGTCTGGTCTGGTTGGTCTGGTCTGGTCTGGTCTGATTGGTCTGGCTACTCTTGCTCAGGAGCGAACTGAAATTCAGGACGGCGGACACAGCGGGTCTCGGCGGCGAACTGAAATACAGGACGGCGACGCAGCGGGCCTCGTGGGCAAACTGAAATACAGGACGGCGGACACAGGGGAGCTCAGGGGCACCCGTGTAGCGCACGGCGGGACGTCGAGCTTGCAAAGAGCAAATCTGGCTCCCAGAGGGAACGAAGAAAGAGGAGGAAGATAAGGGAAGGAAAAGGGGGAGGAAGAGGATGAACATGAGGACGACGAGGAAGAAGATAGGAGGCCCAATGCCGCCGTCTGAGGAGGAGGGCGGCCGCGCGTTGGCGCCGCCAGGCGTTCTTCCTATGCCCCGGCCACGACACAGACCAAAAAGACCAGCCAGACCGACCAGACTAGCGCACGGCGGGACGCCAAGTTTCAACAGAGCAAGGCTAAATGGAGCTTGGGACTTAAGCTCCAGCTTAAGACTTAAGCTGGTCTTGTTGTTCTACCTGGCCGATCTGACTGGCTGGTCTGACTGGCGAGGAGGAGGAGGAGGAGGAGGAGCAAGAAGAGCAAGAGGAGCAAGAGGAGCAAGAGGAGGAGGAAGAGGGGAACGGAGTTGGAGGAGAAGGGGGTCTGAGGGCGGGCTTCGCCATTCTTGTGGTCCTGGGCTGCACCGATCGGGGAGGTATGTGCCGCCGTCCATTTTGTTCGCGTCACATTGGGCTCTGTACTGGAGCGGCAGTCATGGCCAACCTGGGGTCGCACAGCCCCGTTGGGTCACGGGGACAGCACGGGTTCGCACCGGCCCCGCTGGGCCCCTGAGGGCTCCCGAGAGGGGTTGTACAACATGTTTGCTAACACTGGTGTGCGTGCGTGTGACTGCATAATGGGCGCGGCCGTGTGCGACCTTGCGCTCTTGCCGCGCATGGAGTCGGCCCCCACGTCCTCTCCCCCGGACCTCCGCAGGCCTCCGAGGGACCTCGCGCGCCCTCGCGCGCGCGAGTGGGGGAGTGCATGCGCACGCGCCTGCCCTCAGGGCAGGGACAGGCGGAGCTCATGGCGAAGTACGACAAGATCGAGGGCTCCCGCACCGGCGATGCCAAGGCCCGTGCTGCCTACCCTTGTTTGTGCCCCCAGCTGGGCTGCCACCGCCTGCGCTGCGCGTCCACACGGGAGGAAGTAGACGGAAGAGGGAGGGGGGAGTGTGAGCAGGTGCATGGCGGATGAGCAGGCGAGGAGGAAGAAAGGAGGAGGAGGTGGAGGAGGTGGAGGAGGAGGGAGGGAGAGGGAGGCAGGCAGGGAGGAGGGAGGGAGGGAGGGAGGAGGGAGGGAGGGAGGGAGGAGGGAGGAGGAGGAGGAGGAGGGAGGAGGAGGAGGAGGAGGAGGAGGAGGAGGAGGAAGCGGAGACAGAAAGAGGGAGGAGGAGAAGGAGGATTAGGAGGAGGAGGAGAAGGATTAGGAGAGGGAGGAGAAGGAACGGAGGGGCTCAGCAGGAGAGGGTGGGGAGCACGAACGGTGGAGGTGCAGGACAGCATTGGGCCGGGAGGAGCTGGACGAGGGTATCGTGGGCAGCGCTCGGGCAATCAACGTGACGACCTAAATCCGCTGCGCTCCCCGAGCACCCCGAGGACCCAGATGCAGGGGGCCCGTCGCCAGTTTGGCCCAGCGGGGGAGGGCCTCAGCGGTGCCGAGGGGCCAGCCAGGGGTCGACCTGACCAGTTTTTTTGCGATGCCGTGGGCCGTTTTCGCTCCGATCTCGTTGCGCAGCAGCGGCGGACTGGAGACAACACGGGGGAGAACGAAAGCACAGTTCAGAGCACGCACAAAAAAACCGTGCTCCTGGCCCTGCTTGGGCGTGTGCGCTCTTTCTCGGCGGGGACCATCGAGGAGCATCCTTGACCACCCCGCGAAGAAGACGCGCACGAAACCGACAGCGTGCACGGGGAAGGGACGATCGAGCCATTAGGGGTCCACATGTGAACCCTACCCCTAGCCCCACGATTTCTGAGGGGAAGGGTGGGGTTCACTTCGCTCGGGAGTTCCCGCACGAAGTGAACCCCACCCTCCCCCTCAGAAATCGTGGGGGGTAGGGGTAGG